GGTACACTCCTAATTTATTATTTTTACTTGTCTTATCTTTATTATTTTTAATAAAATTTCTTAAATTATTATTAGTTTTAAATGTGAATTTTATGTTATTTTTGTTTAGAAAAGTACACAACTGTTTCATATTAGTACCTAAATACGTAAAAGTATTGTATGTATTTATAGGGTTCTTAGGTATTGGGAATATTAGGTTAATTGCTATTTTATGGATTTTTTTTATTATAAATGTTATTAATTAATTGTGGATTATATCCGTTATTAACAGCTATTTGTTTTATTAAATTTAACTCGTATTTGAAATCCACTTCAGATAATGGTACATTTAAAAGTCTATGTATCATCGAATTAAAAGCTGCCATTTTATGTGGGTACGGGTGTGAGGAAGAGTTATGTATAACTGTATCTGTGTGACTGGGTTTATGGAAAATTTTAAATGAATGGATACCTTTGTTATTTTGGATAGTAAGGTCTAAGAAGTTAATTTGTTTATTTTGTTCTACTTCCATAGTGAATTTAATGTTGGGATGAATATTATTAATAAAATTTAAGAAAATATTTAACTGTCTATTAGTACCTGTAAAGCATGTGAGTATGTCATCTACATATCGGTACCAATATATGAAGTGTTGTATCTGTGGATGTTTGTGGATAATGAGTTCTAAATGATTAACAAAGATGTCAGGTATCCATTCATTTGAAATTTTCCATAAACCCAGTCACACAGATACAGTTATACATAACTCTTCCTCACACCCGTACCAACATAAAATTCCTTAGGTATAGCAGAATTTTAACTTTTGTGGCTGTATATATTTATGAAGTTTTAATATTTGTTTTTAAAAATTCTTCTCTAGTCAGCTATCCAATAGGATTAATAGCAGACACAATGTTATGAATATACCACCTCATAGTAATAATAATAATAATAATATATTTATTGAGCAAAAATTATCCACAATTTTTAGCACAAAAGGTCAGAGTTCGCAAACATCCCTGCGATCTTCCACTCTGCCAGAAATTTAATAAATTAACATAAACTAATAACTTAAGAATATATGAACTTACAAACTAAAATTATATAAACAAATACAAATTTATAAACAGAAATATTAAAAACTAAAAACTATCCTGAAGTAAAAGGTTCTTAACATTATATTTAAAATTTTCTTCAGACATTGACAACAAATTTAAAATCTTATTTAGTAATACTGATGCATTGTATTCAAAGGAACACTTAAATTTGCTAGTTTTATGTTGGGGTATGGAATATGTATTGGTTCTTAATGGGATTGAGTGTACAGTTGACCTAAGTTTTAACATATCAAACAGGTAATTTGGTACATGACATCTTACTAATTTATAAAATAAAATGCAATATAAATATTTAATTCTTTGGTTAATATTCAAAAGACCATTTTGTTTCAGATATGGTGTTATATGGTTACGATATGGTATTTTATATACAAACCTCATACATGAGTTTTGAATTTTTTGAAGCTTATGTGCATTATATTGTGTAAGATGGTTATAGTACACGCAGCAACAATACTCAATATTTGGATAAATTAACGATGTAATTAATTTTAATTTTGATTCCGAGTCAAGAAAATTTTTAAAGGAATATAGCATTTTTAACTTCATATAACAAGTTTTGCTAACATTGTTAACATGACATTCAAAATTTAGGTTCTCATCTATATAACAGCCCAAGTTTTTAGCTTGACTTACCCATTTAATTTCCTCTTTATTTAAAAATATTTTGTTAATACTGAGGTTTACTTTGGCAAGGTTTATATCATTACCAATACAAAGAGCGACCGATTTTTTGGGATTTATTCTAAGACCATTGTTGTTGCACCAGTCTGCAAATTTTTGAAGATCATAGTTTATTATATTTATCGTTTCTTCTATTTTGTAACTTTTACAAGATATGTATAGTTGTATATCGTCAGCATAAAGGTGATATTTAAAGTGTTGTAATGAGTTTGCTACATCAAATATATATATGCAAAACAACAATGGTCCCAGAATACTACCTTGTGGTACTCCGCTTTGTGTTTCCAATTTATTTGAAAAATTATTTTTGTATTTAGTGCATTGATTTCTATTTTTAATGTAGTCAGAAAACTATTCCAGTTCAGTGTTGGTGACACCCAAGTATTTTAATTTAGCTAATAAAAGTTCAAAATTAACCATGTCAAAAGCCTTACTTTGATCCAGTAGTACAAGCAACGTCAGCTGCGCCATATCCATAGCAGAACTGATGTCGCTTGTGACTTTAAGCAAGGCTGTCTGCGTGCTATGTTTTTTTCTGAAACCCGATTGCAGCGAAGGCAGTATATTGTTATAATTTAAATAATTAATTAGTTGGTGGTAGACTATTTTTTCAATTACTTTGGATAAGGTAGGTAGGATGCTTAGGGGTCTTAAATCATTTAAATTTTCGGTGTTAGCTATTTTTCCTATAGGAGTGACTACTGCAGTTTTCCATAAATTCGGAAAGCTTCCACTCATTAATGAATAATTTATAATATGTACCATGTGGCCTAAACAGTGTGGTAAAATTAAGTTTAACATTTTTATATTTATATTATCTATGCCTGCAGCATTACTTTTAATACTGTTTATTGCCTTGATGACATCATCACTCGTGATTCTTTTAAATTTAAAAACTATATCATTATTAAAGGTGCTACTTTTAAAAGAAGTTAAATATTTCATATTTATATTAGAATTACTAGCTATATTAATAAAACAATTATTTATATCATTTGCTGTAATTACTTCAGGTAGATTTAAATTGTTGTCATTTTTATTGTTTTGTAATCCCCAATTTTTCAATTGTTTCCACATGTTTTTAGGATTTTTTTTGTTTTTATTTATTTCATATTGCATATAGGCATTTTTTTCATTTATATTTTTTTAATTCGAGATAATATTTTTTATGACTACTACTTTTTGTTTTTATATATCTTTTATGTGCCTTATTTTTTATTTGTATCATTTTTTTTATATTGTAGGTTATATAAGGTGGAATATATTTTTTATTGTTTACAGAAACCTTGGTTAGAGGAGCATGTTTATCAAATATTTTAATGATTTCGTTATTTAAATATTCAACTTTATCATTTATATTAAATAGTTCAAAGCTATGATCAAAATTTATTTTCAATGCATCTATTTCGAATAGTTCTCTGTCTATAATATTTAAATTTCGGGAGGTAAAACTTTGACTTATGTTTAATGATTGATTATACTCCAGCAAACAATGCACTAACATATGATCTGTAATATAGATTTCAATGTTTTTACAAAAATTTACATTTATAGTTTTGTCAACACAAATAACATCGATCAAAGATTCTCCTGATTCGGTTATTCTTGTTGGTTCTGTTACAATTTGCTTTAAATCAAAACGCGATATATTTGATTGAAACTTAATGGTCTCGGTGCTATCGGTGTTTAACATATTAATGTTGATATCACCCATTATTATTACAGAGCTTACCTCGACATAAATTCTTTCTAACACATCAAAAAAAAGACTCCAAACAATTGCTTTTTGCATTTGGTTTTCTATAAACTAGACCTATACCCAAACTTTCCTTTTTTAATTGGACTTTTATCCACAATTGTTCCGCCCCATTTATTTCATCACAAAAACTAAAGAGAACTTTATATTTAAGATTATTTTTTATATAAAAAGCTAAACCCCCACCTCTACTTGGTCGGTCTAGTCTTATAATGTTATAGTTTGTTATCATTATATATTTACTTGAATAGCTTTCTTCTAGCCACGTCTCACTTACACCCAAAATATCAAAATTATGCATTTTGATAGTATCACTAAATTGTAAAAAACCAGTATTTAAAGAGTTCATTCATAGATTGGCAATATTTAAAAAAGGATGTTTTTATACTGGTATTAAAGCATATAATAAGTTACCTTTACATATTAAAAATTGTAGATGTTTTAAAGAGTATAAAAAGTATATATTGGAATACTTAATCGAAATAGAACCCTATACTCTGGATGAATATTTTAATTATGTGCCTTAATATTTATTTTTACCAATTTGTTTATCTGTATATCCTGACTATATTTCTGTAAATATGTATATTCTTATGTGTATATTTATAAGAAATAAAATTATTATTATTATTATTATTATTATTATTAATCTGTTGTTAATCGGACTTTTATACAACTGGGCCTTAATGTTCTATAAACTGTGAAAAATACCCAAATCTGTTTTGTTAAGATTTTTTGAAGACACCAATATCCCAGGAGTATCCGGAGTCATAGACTGCAGACATATTGCTCTAACTACGCCAGTAGAAAATGAACACATATATGTAAACAGGAAGAATGTTTACTCTCTGAATGTGCAAATGGTAATTAGCTTGTAGTTGGAGAGGGGTTCTTTATTAAATTTATTTACTAATGTTTTTTGGTTTCAGATATGCGATGAAAGAATGAAAATTCTTAATGTGAATGCTAGATACCCAGGTAGTACACACGATTCTTTTATTTGGAGAAATTCACGTGTAGAGGAGTTCCTAAGAAATATGCCAAATGATCAATTGGGAAAGTTCTACTTATTGGGTGAGTTTTAGATCAAATCTTATGAAAAATAGCTTGTTTAGTTGAAATAATGTAGGTACAGTTAATTTTACATTTGATATTAGCACTTTTTTGCTAAATAAAGAAATAATACAGATTTCGCTGCCTTCTAAAGGATCGTGTGCTGCACTATGCCACAATAACAGTAGCCAAAATAGTAACGGCCTGCACTGTATTGCATAACATATGCATTGAAAATAATATTCCATTGATTGAGGATGAATGGGTCAATGAAGAATTGGATAATTTTAAAAACGCCCTTGTAGAGGTGGTAGGAGGGAATGTGGTGAACAACAACCTAGACCTATAAAATAAATTCTTGTATACCTACATAAATGTAAATAGTGTATACTTGAGAATGAAAAGTAAGTCATAACTTTTTCACAGACAATTGGTCTTTTTTTAATGCTAATTCTTGTTTGCTTAGCTGTAATTCCTCTTCTTTTAGAGGTAACTCCATTTTTTTCAGCTGAATATCTTCTCTCCTTAGTTCCAAATTTTCCTCATGTATTTTTTGTAGTTGCTGTAATTTGTTATGGTAGTATGTTTCCTTTATCTGGTTGGTTCGTTCAGTCACTTGTACTAAATCAAATGCAGTGCTTTTTGGGCTCATATTGATTTTTTTGTTTGCTGGTCTGACAATGGGAGGCCTTACCCTTTTTTTATGTTGCGGAGTTGGTTCTTCTCTTTGTATTTTATTTACAGTGGGTTGTGGTTTCACATTCTTATTATTATTAATTTCTTCTGATATTATTCCCTTATTGATCGCCACATCTTGTTCCTTTTGTTCCTGGAAGTATTGATGGTCCCAGTCTCCCTCTGTTGCTATACCCAATTCTGGGATGTCCAGTCCTTCGATGACGACATCTCCGCCTAATTCAAAACAAAAAAAAATATGGATCTAAATCAAAATCAAGCTAGTATAAAAGGCACAGTTTTAGCCACAACTTCCATGAAGTATTTTTTTAGCAACCTATATATTTCTCAAATCAAAGCACCAATTTGAGGGCGGTAAAAGGTAAATAAAATACTATTTTTGCCAGTGAAAGAGTAGGAACAAATGACATTATTGTACTCTATAATTCTTCTAAGTTTTTGTTTCAAAAATTGAGGGAAATTTGAGTTTGTGATAAGGATAAAGTGTATTTTTCAAAAATAATACTCGATATAATCAAATCACATACCAATAATCTCCAAAATCTTGTTGTCTACTTTATCCACCACTTCTGAGGTATTTGGGCCTCCTCCTGTTTTATTTGCTTCCTTTTTGTTGTCTGATATTTTCTTTTTTGTTCTTGTTTTTATATCACTACATGTCTGAAAAAAAAATATCACATTATTATTGGTTTTGGAAGTATTTTAACTTAGTCAATAATACATTAATTCAAAACAGTATCCTGGAGCGCCACGGTCACTCATCTTAAAACAAGTTTCGCAGGTACGGAAAGATGACAAGATATTGGTTATAATTTTTTGGGCAATAAGTTGCAACTGAAAACCCAAGAAAACGTCAAAAATTCTAACCAACCACTTGCCATGCATCTTGTACCTGAAATGCTGGTTTTAAGATGAGTGGCCTTAGGAAGCACAATACTAGTGAGTCCCAAGTGTATATTTCTGCCCGACCGAAGTGGGCCTAGGCCTGGGTCAAGACCTAAGTAAAGTGACCACAATGCTGCAATGTCACAAAGAATTTGGGTGACTTGGGTGTCTGACTTTTGTTTTGCAGTTATCCGCTGAGGAGCCTGGAGGTCGACAAGCTCAAGCAAACCGGTTGTTTTTCCTAAAGTTCCTTTTTTCCCTTATATTTTATCCTTAACCTTCATTATAACCTCTACAAACAAAAATCATCTATTAACATTTTTATTTCCATTTACCTTGGTTTTTGGCTGTAGCCGAGTGTGTATTTCATTGAATATGTAATCTGCGTTTCTTTTACCTTGCTACAGTCCTCATTTTCTGAATTTTCTCAAACGAAATAGCGGTGGTTTGTTGTTTACTTCAATGACAGTTGGCATGTAATGTTGGTTGCGTCTGGTGGAAGGCGCGCCGCGCATGTGTGACTTTTAAACCGGCGATTTTCTTGGGGTGCTGCGGTCTTTCCGTTGAAGACTCGTTGAAAGCTCCATGCCGATGTGAGAGAAGTTGAGTGCCAGGAATATTGAAGTCCTTACCGTGGGTTATTTCACTTTTATCGTGCCAAGTTGCAGTAAGAGCATTGTTCGTTTTCAATGAAAATTTCACGAAAAACGCTGCGGCGTGCCTTTTCTTAACCTCAACTTGGTAAGTTTTTCTACCTTTATTTCGAGCATCGGTTTTAAATCCGATTATTTTATTCTTCCAATTAGTTTCTACTCGGCATGTATACCTATTAGTGACCATATTTTCCCGGATTTGACGATATTTTCCCGGCTTTGACTACAATTTCCCGATGATGACAAATTCTACCTATTTTGACAAATTATTACCGATTTTGACCGCGTACGATGTTAAGTGTATGTTTGGATTTCAAATTATCTCCATGCCAGATTATTAAATCTGTAAGTTGTGGACTGTGTTCAGTCAGGGAGTAGTTTTTACAACCTTATTTACTTTTAGGGCATGTACCTTGTAGTAAGATTTTACCAAATATATCTTCCACCCTATTTTGTCACCTTTAACATCAAATCAACCTGATGCCCAGATCAGCTGTTCCTCTACACGTCTACCTACCGACCATCACGAAACCGATGCTGGAGCTTGTCACCACCAAGGTTCACCACCCGGAGCAACAACACTTGGAGTCAGGATTATGTGTGTAGAATTTTAGAAACATTTAACATTTAAGGTAACCTTTTTGTCTCGGTCATAGCACCGCTTAACTGTTTTTTTGTCTCGGTCATAGAACCGCTTAATTATTTTATGTAAACCATCGATACGTATCGTGAGGTAGTATGCACAACACCTAGTGTTTATTTAGTTTGATTTAATTTTCACATGTTCAATCCAACAATAGTTTGATTTAATTTTCACATGTTCAATCGAACAATAGTTTGATTTAATTTTTACATGTTCAACCGAAACAACAGTCCAATTAAACCCAATTAAATTTTAATAACCTTTTTGTTGAAAACCTTTCAATTTTCAGAATAACTTAAGTTAGGTTAAGTTATCGACCTAATTTTCATGTTTTTAAATGATCACTTGGCGCCCACAAGTTGTAAGTTGTTGTGTGCTATAAAAATCACCAGAACACATTTTGACACAAACATTAATTTTTCTACAAGAATCCACGGTCATACTTTTGAACCCTGCTCTCCGCAACCTAAACAGTAAAGCTGCCGTCAGCAAAGTAAGTAGAAAAAAAATACGCCACAAATGGCGCCCAACGTGTTTTTACAATAGTTCTGTGCATGTTGTAAATGCCCAAATGTCACAGTAGCACTTTATTTGTATGGTGTTTTTGTTAAAATTTTGTTCCAAAATTTTTATCCTAAGTAAGGGGGGAATTCCAGCACCCTTAGTTCTGGTGATTTTGTGCAAACAGCAGCTTGCAAAAAATTTCTAAAATTTTACGTAACGGTGTTGTTCCAAAGCATTTCGAGACCTTACCTTTTGAAATCACTCAATATTAATTTAGTGACTTATATACGCGAAGTATAATACCTATTTTGACTTACCTGTCCTATTTTGACTTACCTGTAGATACTGCTATACACGAAGTATAGTATGTATATTGCGACTTATATACGCGAAGTATAATACCTATATTGACTTACCTGTAGATACTGCTATACACGAAGTATAGTATGTATATTGCGACTTATATACGCGAAGTATATAACCTATTTTGACTTACCTGTACATACTGCTATACAAGAAGTATAGTTTGTATAATTGCGACTTGTTATACACGAAGTATAACTCTACCTTCAATTATCTATCATAAATGACATTACCTTACCTCAGTTTAGATTTTTGCCTTATCTTACCTGCGTAAAAGTTTCTTTGAGTCCTTGACGCGGTATATACCTTTTCGTGTTTTTCCTTGCACATTATTGCGGTTTGCCAATTTGCGATTATCATTCTCTGTAGCATCACAACCTTACCGTGCGTTTTGTCCTTGCACTTGGAGACTTGTATTAGTTTTTAAATTTTTAATATTTTGCCCTTTTCCTTGATAGAGATATACACTTAAAATGGCAGTCATGAGGCCTAACTATCTTTTAGCCGACGAAATAAATTACGAGTTAAGAATTCGTGGCTGTGAGTCGTCAAAGAAAGATGCCGCAGCAAAACGAAAAATTTTGACTAGACTTTTAAGGAAAACCGACGAAGCTATGGCTCTGGTTGACCCTCTGTATAATTTCGATTCGGAGAAGACATTTATTGATTCTACCCTTGATGCTCTTAGAGGCTTAGTCTCGGACTTTGAAGGTCCATCTTCTGACTCTATGTATAAGCGAATTGAGACGCGTTTATTACATGTTGCTGGCCGTGTTGGCAGAATTGTAGTTCCCGAAGGGGATAAAGACACGTTAGAATACAAAAACGAGTCTCATGCCACTTGCATAGAGTTAGAGGCTGAACTGGAAGAGAAGGTTCAACCAGATCCTGCGGAAGTTTTCCATTCAACTGTAAATTCACCTAGTGCCTCTAGTTGCCAAAACACTTCATTACCTCGGCCCACAGTTTGTAACAGTAAGAATTCGGTCGCCGTTTATAAATGGAATTTAAAATTTAACGGTGTTTCTATGTCTGTAAATTCATTTCTTGATAGAGTTGATGAATTGTCAGTAGCGCGAAATATTGATAAAACTCTTCTGTTTAACTCGGCAATTGATCTGTTTTCGGATAGTGCCCTTATTTGGTTCAGACGCGTAAAGAAACATTTAAATAACTGGGATGATCTTGTAAAGAAACTGAAATCTGATTATTTACCTTCAAACTACAATGACAAGCTGTGGGATGAGATAAAGTCGCGAAGACAAGGGCGAAACGAGTCGGCCATGGTTTATATCTCTATCATGGAAAATCTCTTTGCTCATTTGGAAAATATACCTGCTGATTTTACCAAGTTAAAAATTATAAAACAGAATCTTTTACCTCACTATATCTCTGCACTAGCCTTACAGGATGTTAACGATCTAGACCATTTAATTACATTGTGTAAGAGGATTGATGAAGCGTTTCAGTTGAAGAAGAGTTACGTAACTCCCGTTAAATCTGCAAATTTACTTGAGCCTGAACTGGCGTATGTTGATGATTGTTTGTCGTCACACCCTGATGGGGAGAATAGCGGTAAATTTAAACCAAGATTTAGTTCCTCTAGAGTGAACTGCTTTAACTGTAACGCTCAAGGTCACGTTTATAGTCAGTGTCGTAAACCACGTAATAAATTTTGTTTCAAGTGTGGACTAAGGATCACACCGTTCGCACATGTCCCAAGTGCTCGGGTAATAATGTCACACCCATATCAAAGACCCCCTTGAATGTTGCCCCTAGTTCAAAAAACGCATAGAGGGACCCTGCTCTTTCGGCAAGCAGAGGGATTCCCGTATAAATAAGCGGCAGCCGAGTGACCTTAATAGTGTTAAGCCTCCTATACCTCCCATACCTAAACACTTCAGTTCTAGAAAGATTATGCGCAAAGATTATTTTGATGTTACCGATTGGAAGCAGTGGCTTCAAACTGTAAAGGATTTTTATTTTGTTGGCTAATAAACAAAACGATAATAGACCTTATATTGTAGCTTGTTTGTATGACCAAGATATTATTGTGTTGTTGGATTCGGGTTGTAATCAGAGTGTAGTCGGAAGTTCTGGCTTAAAATTGTTAAGAAAAAATAAAGTAAAAATTTATTTTTCCAACGCTAAGTACGTAATCACTGCCGATGGCGCAAAACAGCGGATTTGTGGTTACGCTTACTTACCTATCCATCTTAATAACTCATTCGATATAAAATTAAATAATAGTGTTTCAGTAAATTCAGTTTCAAAAGTAGAAGTTAATTTAGTAGATTTTAACATTTTGACATCTTCGGAAGAAGTAATTAAACAGGGAGTCATTACTTCATTTAATGAGATTAGCTCAGAAAAGGGTCTTGGTCGTACAAATAAGCTAATACATCACATAGATACAGGTGATCATAAGCCGTTTAAACAGCGTCAGTATTTAATGTCACCATACATGCTCGAGCATTTAAACAAAGAGCTAGACGAGATGCTAAGGCTTGGGGTGGTTAAACCATCTCAAAGTGCTTGGAATAGTGCCGTGTTTTTGGTAAAGAAACCGAAAGGAGATGAGTATAGATTCGTGTTTGACGGGAGAAAGCTTAACGAGTTAACTAAGCCGGATGCTTATATTTTACCTTACGTTGATAGAATTTTAAGTTTGTTGAGAGATGCAAAATATATATCCAGTGTCGATCTCAGACACAGTTTTTGGCAGATTCCCTTAGATTCAGAATCTTCGGAAAAATGTAGTTTTTCAGTACCTGGTAGAGGTACATTTTCTTTTGTAGTTTTACCTTTTGGTTTGAGTAATGCCGCACAGACGCAGC